GCAGTTTTCTTTCCTTTCTGACTGTTGAACTCACAAGCAGCTCCTGAAGGGAATGCCCTGGAACCAGCATCTTCCAGTTTGCCACCTGATGTGCTTGCAACTGCTTGTGTCTGCACTGGAAGTCCAGAGTGAATTTTAAGGAAGAACTCCCAATGTCAACATACATAAATGCTAAGAAACCGAAGTGTGTGTGTGTGTGTGTGTGTGTGTGTGTGTGTGGTTACAGACATCCTTTAGTCTTTGTCATTAGGTGTAGGTTAGGCAGCAGAACGCTGGAGCTTAGTCCTGGGTATATTCTAAAGTAGAGCAGAACTTAACAAAATAAATAGTTTGGCACGTAGACAGTGAGTACCGTAATTGTGGAGATCTGTCTCATGCAAGTCACTGAAAGGTGTTCCCCTCAGGTCTCCTCAGTTTGTCTCACATCCACCCTTTGAGCATGTGTGTCTCACCGCTCTCTTACCTGTTAGTTTGTCCGTCTGTTTTCCTCAGACACCATCTGCACATGCATCACAGAGAACCGAGCATTTGTCTTCCACTTTCAGCAACAAGCCTAGTGACCTCTCTAAAAGTCAAGAACTCCTTTTTATCTTTCTCTTTTTGGGAAACGTAGGGAGTGGGTGGGCAGATAGTGGTTAGAAGACACATATACTGTATAACCTAACTGACTTACATTGAGAGTTTGTTCTTCAAAGTTTAAATGCTTGATAATTGCTTAGTTTTTTTAGAATATGAAACATGCAGAGATGAATACATTTACACATTCTTATTAGGTAGTTTATCACTTTCCTGTCCAGATAGGTTTTTCTCCATAGCAAAAGAAAAACATCTCTTAGTTAAAAAAAAATTGTTTTCTGCTGAATAAGAAGCTAAACAGATGTCCCTGCTGATATAACAATAAAATCAATCGCATAATGTTTATATAAATCTATATAATATTCAATATACTTAATACTAGCTGCCATTTTAAATATTCTTGGGCTAGAAAAATGGCTCAGCAGATAAAAGTGCTTGCCATGCAAACATGACCTCCTGAGTGAGCCCGGAACACACATTAAAGGCAGAAAGAGAAAACACACTTTATCTCCCGCCCCTTCTCAACATTATACATACACACAAAAACACACTCCGTCTCTTGTCCTTCCTCCTAGACATTATACATAGTAGTTAGATGTTGATACATGCAGCCCTGTGACCTGGCCATGTTTAAGTTTCAGTTAAGCACAAATGCTAGCATTGCTTAAGATCCTTTGCTGGGCACATTCATGTTTTAAATGTGGACTTGGTGCTTCAAGACAGATGGTGAGGTGGCACATTGCAGTCTGAACCTAAGAGCATTTGGCAGTGCTAAAATTGAGCTTTCTGTTTAGTCCAAAATAATTCAGTGATGAGTGGGCTACTTTGTACTTTTCTTCCCTCAGAATTTGTTGAGTATTTGGAAATCTTAGCTTCCAGAGATGCAAACTACACGTAACCATATTTAACTATGTGTAGGCACCTTCATAAAATGAGGCTTCGCGAGTAGGCAAGCTCTTAACGGTGGATGTCCTACATAGCAGTTTGGCATGTGTCACTTGTTTTGACATCATAGTGATGTTTCTAGTAAGACTGGCTAGTATTTGGTTGTATCTTATTGTGCACACAAAATCTCCCAGACTTAAAGTGAACCGTTGGAGAAGCTCATGGTAAGCTGGAATCATCACATAACCCTGCAGCGATGGGAAGGAGCGCAGTGGTCACCCTCTATTCCAGTTTATTCCCTTCAGTGCCTCTTCTCAAATGCTTTGCTTACACTGCCCTCCCTGTCCATGCCTGGGCTAGAGGATCGCAATTAAAAGAAGTCTTTATTTATAGAAGGGCATGCCATGAATCTATTAGCATTTCTGAAGTCCTGTATCTTGCTAACTAAAGTTGGAAATCATTTTGTATTTTGACTGGCAGCTTGTTACATCCTTCTCAATGTATCTTTTTTCCCTCGAGTATTTTAAAAGCAGAATTTACATAACCCTGTTTATCGTTCAGGAATACTAGGTATAAATTGCCATGGGATTCCAAAAGCCCACAGGAAGTTACAGTGTTCCAGTGGGGCCTCCTAGAGAGAAAGTACAGACACATTCCCCTTGGCAATGAGGTGTGTGTGTGTTGCCTGTGGTGATGATGGTGGACCTGAAGGTGTGATTTAGGGAGGCACTACACCTGGAAAACCACCCAACCCATCTAAATTCTGGAAAAAGGTGTACTCTTCTGAGCTTGGGTTAAAAATACTGTCTTGCTTGTTCTCATTGCTGGAAGGTTAAAGAGATCAATAAAGTTTCCTCTGCTTCTCCACGTCAGACTTGTCTGTATTTTCTTCATGTCCAGGGAAGCCCAGGTCACAAAGGGTGGTGGTTCTGGAAAGTGTTAGTTATCTATGCTGCTACTGCAGATTCTTCTTCTGAGATTAAATACATTGTGCACAGGTGCTGTGACCACACATAGATTCATCTCATAGAACATACTA